CCTACCTACCTACCTACCTACCTACGTTCGCTCGTTCGCTCGTTCGCTCATATTTTCTTTCCTATCTATCTCATTCCAGCGATGACCACGTGGGGCTGTATATCACCCAGCATAACCCTGGTCTTAGTGGCACCATTATGCACCCTGTTTCAGGTCAGCTACTATTTCATTAGCAAGAATCAAACAGACCAAACCAACTACAAAGGGTACCAACAGGTACAAACCACTGATACAGACGACGAGCAGACAGACGAGAATCAACAGAAAGTACCCCAAACGGAATATAGCGACAGCTTGTCAAGGAAAGAAAAAATGTCAATTATACTCAAGATGTTGTCCCTTACTTTCGTGCCGGTATATACAACCTTTGTTTCTTATTTTACCTTAATTCAATCGGTTACTACCACCATTGCCTACAAGAACTCTCCCTTCAGACCACGTGACCACTATCAGTATTACATCTTTATCTTTATGTTCGGGGAGTTGGTTGGTCGATCTCATCGTTCAGTGATTTCTTTCTTYAATCCTCGCTGGCTTTACTTTCCCACCTGCACGCAATTATGGGTTTTGTCAGTCCTCGTGTTCCTCCATTTTCTGTTCGCAGTTTTCGAATCTTGGTACCGCTTTTTAACAGGAGTGACGACCATTCTGATGACCTGCTTATCAGCGGGTATCCTAGGAGGCTTTCTGTTCAGTATCTTTCCTGAAATCTTGCGTTTACGGTTAACTATAAGAGAGCGCGAGTTTGGCATGGGTTACGCTCTGTCTCCTGTAAGTACAGGCGTACTGAGTGCTGGCATTGTCGGCCTGTTTGTCGAGCCAAAATTATTGGAACACTGTACGTCAACCGTTTTAGACACTGCTTACTGCTTCACTCGACCTGAATCTTTCAAAGACATTATTTCTCATTGTGGAACCACACTACCTTAGCTGTAGGACTTGGAGGATTTAGGATCAACACAATACAATATAATAGTTAATCCGGCTTAATGATGTTGCAASCAAAAAATTCTCCAAACCTTCCCAGGCTACAAAAGTTGACCGGTTCCGCATTCACTCTTCCGCCCCCTCCCTGACTCCCATGTAGACATGCTGCAAGGTAACTAGATATCCATGTACGATACCAAACCCGACTTTTGCACCCGAGAGAAAATGTTCGAGCCATACGTATTTTCCATTGGATTTATTTTTTATTATTATTTTATATTAAAAGTTCAACAATACAATCAAATGCTTTATTCGTCCATTGTCTTCATTGGAAAAGGGGAAAAAGGCCAGTTATAAATTATAAGAATTTATGGAACGATAGTATATATTGCATGATTAGATTTGAGGTTGTTAATATGTTTATAAATTACAATGATATTAAAATGGAATAAGTTAAG